TCATTTACTTACTGCCTTTAAAAGAGCTTGGACTTTGTGTGATCAGGCGGGCCCCCCTGGATCAAAAGATCATAATGCTGTTACCGAAAGGGTTGAAATAAACCAAACAGAATTTGATTTACTCAAAGTTGGTGAAATTTTTTCCTTTTTTGGAGAATATGGTTTTGACTCGGTCAAAATTGAAAGTAAATCTTTCAAGTTCGCAGTGAAAAACGGAGATTTGGCCCTTTTCGAAATTAAAAGGTCCCTTCTACACAAGATTCACTTCAAACTTGAGCTGGTTCCCCAAATCGTTCAGTTCATGTCACAGATTAGAAACCCTGGTCACTCATATTCTGAGGAAAAAGGACGATTTGGAGATATCACTATTTCCGTGGAAATTAACAGAGACGCTGGCTACTTTGTGAAAATGGCTAAACACAAGGGTGGATCCATTCAGATACCAATGGGACCCACTAACTCGAGCCTGTTATAATTCATTAATATTTTTTCTAATTTTGCAGGGGTCCCAACACCAGCGCAGGACGACCCAATCTCCCTACATTATGGGAGCAAACTACAATCCGAGAACCCCATTTCTATCTCCAAACTGATTCTACATCAACAAATTCGAGCGATAGGTGGCGAAAATGAACATGTCTTTTCGAATGGGAAACAACCCGAGTTGCCAACCATACATGCTTACTCATGTGTCTCTGATGATTTTGATCACTCGGATGACTCCATCTTCACTGATGACTTCTTGGGACATGCTACTGAAAATGATCGTCGTCCTCCTATTTCATACCCAGAAGAAATCAGGAAGTCCAAATTCAATAAAGCAATATGCCGAAAAGCAAATTTCATAACAACAGAAAATTGCCTACCGACTGAGAACTTGAACAGGCAACTCAAAATCTATAGAAAAACTCAAAAGAACAAAAGGCGTCATAGCATGAGAACAAGATCTCAAGCCAGAGACTTCCCCTGGAATTAGTTAATTAATTAGTTTCCTCGTTCTTTTCCTTTTTGTACTATTTTTCGCTTTTAACTTTATCGCATTGTACTGTTTTTCCTATTATCAATAAAATTTCCTTAAAACAAAAAGAGCTTGGACTTTGTGTTTAGCATAACTTGCTCTTAGAGAAAACAGAAAGGCATTTCTATCTTTGTGTATTTTTTCGTGAGACAACCTGACCATAACTTCTCCCATGGCATTCTTCTTTTCTTTAAACACTCATTTTGTACCAATTGCTTTGTCACCTTTCGATAAGATGGCCTATTCACAAGTATCATTTTTTATGATGGACTTCATTTCTTCATCCATGGTCTTTCTCTAATTCTTTTCGTTAGCCTCTTCATCAAAATGTATTGGGTCACAATCAGCAAGAAGACAAAATGTTAGCCTCATAGCTTTTGTATGCTCCTTAAGCGTGGCGGCCTTTTATTTATGTTATCTTCGCTTGTGGATCCTTCTTGATTGGGTCACAGTGGAGTTGGACTCGTGGGATTTTCTTGAAATAGTTCTTGCTCCCCCTCATCGTCGTAATAAGGCAAAAAATTAGAATCTTCTTATTAATGATGAGCCCAATCCGAAGTGCTCTTCATGAAACTCGATATCTCGACTAACCATGACTTTTCCATTGCTTGGGTTGTATAACTTGTACTCCTTTTCTCTTGCATCGTAGCCAATAAAAATAAACTTCTCAATTCTTTCCTCCGGCACATGACCATAAGCGATACTCTCAAAAACTTTCAAGTGAGAAATTGTGGAACTTCTTCCACTCCATGTTTTTATGGAGTTTTGTTCCTAATACTTCGGGAAGGAGATTGGTTTGATAAATAAACTTCACAATCCATGTCTTCAGTCTAAAAATCTTTTGTAATATTTTTAATTTTAATCATGCTTTAGACTATATCAACTAGAAACCAATTTTTCCTTCCAACTTCTCCATTTTATTATGGAGTATATGAACTCTTAAGGGGCTATAAATACTAATTTCTTCACACAAAAAATAACATTCCTTTAAATTCCGTATCATTTTCTACAAGCTCTGATTTTTTGAAGGCTCAAAAAACGGTGTGTTTTGTTTTAGAAAACAGTCCCACGTTTGCGACTAAAATCATCAATCAAAAGAGCAAAATAATTACAATTGTAGGGTGTGTTTCGGAAAATAAAGAAAATTAATTAAAATAAATTAATTAAATAAAATGACTAGAGGAAAACAAGAAAGGAGATGAAGCAGAATTAGCCAAAGCTCGTGCTACGCACGATTTCCTTAAAACGTATTTGTTGCCTCCCACGGTGCTAGGAGCGTTGCAACAATCGTTTCCCAGGATACGATGACTACGAACTAATGTTTGAGCACACAAACAGGAGTTCCAGCGAACGAGAACCAAGTATGAACACAGAAGGATTTTGGGAGTAGCTGGAAGAGTTTTTAGCTCAAGAAAACGTGAGGGAAGTGATGTGCGTTGTCAAAACGTGTGTCTGTTGCAAAGCACCTGCCAGCTATTTATAGGAGGATTTGTTGTGTGTTAAATGGGGTGTTAATGGACCTGAACGTTGGACATCAATGACCAGTCCGTTGTGCATTGAATCGGGGTTCTGTCCGTAGCCAACAGAACTCCCCTTGGAGGGTTTCTGTTCGAGGCCTTCTGTCCGAAGCCAACAGAACCCCCTTGGAGGGTTTCTGTTCGAGGCCTTCTGTCCGAAGCCAACAGAACTCCCTTGGAGGGTTTCTGTTCGAGGCCTTCTGTCCGGAGCTCTTCTGGGAAAAAAACGTTCGGGAAGAAAACAAAAATTAACCGTATCTCTTGAGATAATAGATTTTTGGACTGCATTCGTGTCCGCAGGTCGCCCGCGCACACGAGTCGCGGTTTTTCTTCTCCGTTTCGGGATTTGATCGGCACCCCCCCTGCGCGTAAGAGAGAGCCTTTCCCTTTAGGAATCTTAACTCCTTAAGAGAGGCTTCCCTTTAAAAGGGGGTGAAAATCCCTTGAGTTTTTCGGTGTGGGATAAAACACACTAGAAACTCATCATTTTCCCAGTTTTTCCATTACAACGAGCGAACTTCGAGAATCAATTTCTCATTCACCCATTATCCGTTTTGAGCGTACCATATATCGAATTGTAGCCCTTAACAAGGACAATCCGAAACCACTTTGACACGACCCAAATCGGAAGTGGACCCCACTCAAATAATTGCCCCAAAATGACCATTTAATGCAATTTTTAACACATTTTTCCAACAACAATTTCTGTGAGAACATGGATTAATGGGCCCACAAATATACATATACACATGCAATAAGGTTTTTTTTTGCTCTAGTTTGCTGATGTTTGTTTTTGAAAACGTTTCCGTGGTTGCCTTCCAAATAAACATTTTCGCTCAATTGATTAGTCTTAGTGATTTTAAGGTAAATCTTTCACCATATCTTTGTCACTCAAAAATTTTAACTTTTTCAAAATTAAGATGTCACAACCTCAAGTGCTAAAGTCAAAATGGATTTGTAAAACATGTTTTCAAACATTTAAGTAGCACTGTCATTTTCAATTTCTGATGAAAACATTCTATTTTTTACCATTTGTACTTTAGCAACCGAAACTCCATTTTTATCTCTCATCAATAGGGTATGTTTTTCATATGATTGTTAAATCTCTTTTCTAAAAGTTGCCCCAAATATATAAATGTTTGTTTTCATTTTAGCCACGTAGTAGACATTTGAGATCAAATCATTTCTTTCATTTTACAATTAGATTAAGCTTTTCCCCTCTTTTTACAGGAATTTTAAAATCACACCCGAGACAAATATTTCCACATACCGAACATATCCTTCTTCGCGCACATGTGGTTGCTAACTCTAGTGTTGTAAATACCAAGTCATCTTGGATTCACTTTCTCTTCCTTTATGGGCCCACCAACAATGTAGAATTTTCTTCTTCTTCCATGGTCTCGAAAAACCTCATCTTCCACTACTTTTTGATACATAAACATTTCGATTATTTCACTCTTATTTATTGAAAGTCTTGTAACTGCCCCTTCCTTAAATTTTACTTCGCCCTCACCCTCTTGAGCTTTGATTTATTCCATCTTGAAAAGTCTCTTTATTTCTTAGGGCGAGTTTAGTTTGAAGAGCTTGTTGAAATGGCTCTCTTTTTTATCTTCTTGAAATTTTCTTCATGAGTTTGAAGAGATCCCAAGAGTTTATCGATCGTCATAGTTTCTAGATCTCTAGACTCTTCTATTGCCACAACTATATAGTCAAAATTTGAATATAAAGACCATAGAACTTGTTCAACTACTCGAGTTTCTTTACTTTCTTCTCCATATCAATCTTTTTAGTTGATCAACAAAGATTTGAAGTTTTGAAGCTCCAAACATACATCGAAAACTTTGGAGTCTTACTTTCTTTACTTTATCTACTCGTTTAAAATGAATTCTGTAATATTTGCCAAGCTTCCGTGCTTGCACTTGCACATGTCACCTACACGAACATAACTTTATCCAAAGTTTGGTGGATGATAAAGAGTGTTTTTTATCTCTCGTTTTATTATTCTTCAAGGTATCCTTTTATCTTTTGTTATGGTGTTGATGTCATCAAGTTCCTCAAAGCCTTCCTCTACCCATGTCCCACACATATTCCGAACAAAGTATTATTTCCTTCATGTGAATGCTCCTTTAGTCAAAGTTCTCCTTTTTACTTGGAGGTATTTGGTTGAACTAGGAGGCTAAACTAGAAATAATATGAAAGATATGGTTGAACAAAGGGGAGATGCTTTTATTAGAACTACTCACTTTTTACTTGATTCAAAGTGGTTGTAGAAGATGTCTATTTGATGCTATACAATTTCTTACTTGTACACTTTTCTACGTTTTGGTCCATTTCCAAACGTAACTTAAAAACATATCAATGAGACCCAAAAGACTAATTAGAAACAAGTTTGATTTTTAACAAACTGTACCCAATCGCGTTATGAATAAGTATTTTTAAATAAGCGAGACCGAGATATTAATTACCTGAAGATCCATCATGGCCATGTATCGTTGAAGTGGGATTTCATATTGACGAAGATTATGCATCAACTTCTTCTCCTGATTATTTAAAGACATAATAACATTAATTATATATGTGCAGTGTGCTCACATGTGTGTGTATGTGCATGTGCGCACGTGTGTGCCTCCTCTCAACGGCCATATATATAATGTATATTTGTATAGACATATTATTGTTCTATACTATTGACCGTATATGTTATTATAGTATAAATGTGCCCTAGCTTCTCCTATCATGTTGACGATGAAACCTCAGGTCTTAATATTATGACGTGCACGAGATGAACAAAAATGTGAAACACACATGCCCACACATACACACACAATTATCCTCCGATAAGGAATTTCCTAACCGAAACATCATCGGGCCACTTCCTTTTGAGGTTCTTCCAGATAGAATGTTTTGATGAAATTTTGTTAGAATTTATTCATGAATTGTAGATTATTTATATACATAAATAAATTATTTATGTATATAATTAAATAAATAAAATTATCATCACCACTCGATTGATGTTACCCACCTGAAGTTCCTGGGACATAACTGCTGGGGGTAGAAGGCCACGCAAATAATAGGCATCTCTCTCTTGATCAGTAAATGCAAGCCCTTTATTGTAGTGTGGATCACGCATCAAACTATATCCACTGTGAATGTAATTTTCAAACACATGGTGAGTGGCCTGGATTGAAATCTTATTATTACATGTATTTATTATACGATAGATCAACAAACTTAATCTATAAGCAGAATAACCTACGACCTAATTATGTGATTATGTCAAGTAGTTAAATGATACTTTAATAACTCTTGATAATAATGTTGCATTTTGATACACTAATTCTTAAATGAAATAAATTAGTACAATAATTATACGTAAACGTCACAAATGACAATATTATACAAATTTACAGCTAACGTGTACACCCATATTCAATTCCATGCGTAGAGTCCACCCTACAGTGACGATATCGACAAAAGTAATGTGAAGTGGACTTTATGTATAGAATCTTGGCTGTCACATAAGATTTTTTGGACAGAAATTTGAATAATATTATGAGTTGAAACATTTAGGGAGTAATTAAAGTCTTGGTGTAAATTTGATTGGGAGAAGGTAGATAACTTAAGTGCATGTGTTAATTAGCAAATTAAAGAAGGCAAGGCTAATACTACGTATAAGGTAGGGAAAAGATGGAGTATACTTCGTATTACCTAGCGACGGAGAAAGTCCATGGGGTGATGGAGAGATGCTCCGTGGCTGTATCCTCGCCGTAGATATCCCCCACTCCGCCACCCATAAACTCCTCACCTCCCATTCTGCTCTCCGATTCCATCTCTGATCTGCCACAACACAAACAAAGCCAAGTCCGGTGATCCAACAATTGCAGGCCGATCGATGAGCTTTAATATTTAACTTAATTAAAATAAAAACAACATTTTAAATAGATCGATCAGAAAGCGGACGTACGTGATTATTTTAATTTCCCCAAAAAATACTACAATTTTAAGGTTTCAAATAATTAATAAGTGATCACGTACGGTATATATGCTGAAGGATACATACATACATACATACATAGCATCGATCATGTGTTGCATGGGTTTGTGGATGGAGATGAAATGCGGGCGCGCAGCTAGGGTCAAGAATGAAAACAGGAGGCCGGTTTATTTGTGAGGGCGGAGACCATTTCCGGCCAAAAGATGGATGGGAGCTAGGTAGCTACCTAGTTTTTATTTGAAAAAATTGTGGGATTAAAACATTGCCTAAATTCCAAATTGGGACTATAAGTTTATTATTCCCAAAATAGGATTAAAGATTACACTTTTACCCCTGATTTAGTTAAACCCATCTCTCTCTGCCTTATGCAATTCATCGGCAATTTCTGCGGCTCCCCTGTGATCCTTCCTCCCATGGACTGTGACTCCCCTGTGATTATTGTTGCCTCGCACTGCAGCACTGTCTGTCTTAATTAGCCTTGCACTCATCTTCAACCAGGTAGGTAATCTCTTCTTCTTCCTCTTCCTCTTCCTCCTTCTCTTCTTCTTCTTCTTCCTCCTCCTCCTAGTTCTCTTTTTTTTCTATCAACCAAATTTTAAATAAAAGTTTTTTGATTGGTTATCTCTCATGTCACATGTGCACCGTGCACATTGTAGCATTGGAGATGTTCTTATTGTGTCATCATGCATATTAAGTGACATTCTTGCATATCAAGTGGCATTCTCATTGAGGTCTGCACAGAGTCACCAGAGGGCAGATGCTTGTCGAAGAATGATGGCAATGTACTCGTTGAGGGGGGAGGTGGTGGTAGACTTGATAGAGGGTGGATGAGGTGCCATTGGTGGAGGCATCGACTGAATTGTGGAGGCTTGGAGAGTTGGAGACGCACACCTGCGCACAGGGAACTCGCACAACCCTGCGAACTTCTAATTTTATCCATTAAGGGTAGTTTTGTCAGGTTAACTCTTTTTAGTCCTATTTTTGTCCAAAAAACATAGTGGTCTTGTTTTTGCAATTCTACATTCTTTTAATCCTATTTAGAGAATTCTCTCTTTTTATTTAAGATATTATCCGAGGAGTAAAACAATAAAGAATTTTCAAAGTAAGAGTTTTTTTTATCATCAAATCCAACTAATATATTAACTCAAAATAATGTTCATCACATGGTTGATAATACAATCAAAGAAAAAGAAGTAAAGAAAGTGATAAAAAACCTTATGTCTGCCGTCCGCCCTCGAACCAGACTTAGAAGCAATAATATTCGCTGATCCTGTAATGAGCTTAACTGAACCAATGACCAGCAAACCAAACTTCATCACGTGACTTAAAATATAGAAACTCTCTGCTAAGAAATAAGAAAACGTCCAAAAAACATGCAATTCTAAATAAAAACACAAATAGAATAAAACTGAATAAAAACAACGTTCACTCATCTTCTTCCAAACCCTAGACTTGCTTGCACTTCATGGCGGCAGCCCAGGAGGGGACACGCCCGCCGCTCATCCGCCTCTATAGTCATGCTTTTGTATTGAATGACGATATCCTCTTTTTCCATCCCTTATTGCTTAATCGAAATCATAATCCGCCACATTTTATCCACCTTTTCTTTGTCAACACTCGACTTTCGACCACAAACAACAGCAGAAGTCGAGCCCTGGCCACCATAGCGCTGCATCCCTAGTCCCGAGCCTGCTTGCATGACCAAAAATGATCGTCGGCCGCTCTTCGTCGATGAACAAAGCAGAAGACACAAAACCCTAATTCGTAGGGAGATGACCGCTAGAGAGAAGACTCTCCGATTCCAACAATTGGCTGGAAAACCCCAGGCGCGCTCCTCGGCAAAGGCCGATAGCGGACAAATCCAAGATAGCGGTTACCTTGCGGCAACCCTAGAGAGAAACACTTGACACACAGTATAATTTGTGGTGTAGTGTACCAATTCAAAGTACGAGTTAGTATTGATTTATTCCTTGGGTTCTTCTACGGTGCCTATGAAAATTAGCCATGTACCAGTGCCTTGATATTTCGACCAATCACATTACACTGAGAAGCCACATGAGCATCATACTCATGTTACTCAACTAAGTTTTATTATTTGCATTTTAACCCTAACAAAAAAGTGTAATATCTAACGTTTCTTAACTGCCTAATACTCCGTAACATCTCTGTTATTTCCGTAAGTTCCACAAAAAGCTCCACCGCCGGTTTGCTTTCTAAGGCTACATCAAACCCACCGATGAAACCACATCAACTAGATGATGACGAAGACAAAGGCTATATCTTCTAATCTCTTTTTTAACAAGGTGTCGACGAAGAGAAAGGGCGGACAACATCTTATCCCGTTTTCTGGACAAGTCAAGAGAATTAGGATTAGAGGGCAATGAATCCCGAACTGGATGCAAGAAATTAGCAGACTTGATCTCCAAACTGGATGCAAGAAATTAGCAGACTTGATCTGTTTGTAATATAGATGGTATGTAATCAACCCCCAGACTTGTTTAATTTTTTATTCTTTTTAGGGTTGGAGGATTATTGACTGATGTGGGAAATTAATTTTCAAGGGGGTTTTAATTCATTTTTTGTAATTTTTTTCATTTATAAATTCACAGATGGTTGGCTTAGAAATTAGCAGTCTTGGTCTGTTTGTAATATATATATGGTATGATAAACGTTCAATAGTTGTATCCAAGAATTTTGCCGGACCAGGGAGATATATCTCCAAGTGATTGTACAATACTCACTACACTATATAAATATGTTTTTGTGTATTTTGGTCTTAAGTGGACCGCTCTTATTTTAGGTAATTGCTCACTTCTGGTGCCTTTTACTTTTTGCATCACTGTAACAACATGCATTTTTTGTAAAGTCCAATTTATTCATAGGTGCAAATGCCAACTTTTCCTAATAAATGAGACAATGAAAAAAATCCATTAAAAGCTAAAGAGCAACTCATCAGAAATGTATTTTGTGTTTCATGTTCTCATCGAGTTTGAACACCTCAGAAATAAAATCAAATTATTTACTCCATATTTTTTATCCTTTGAACTCCATACCTTCTACTTCACCGTATATGACTATATAAATTGATTAAGGAGATAGACACTTACTCTGAGATGAATTCAGAAGATAAGCCCTTATGGTAGGATAAGTTGCTGCTATTCAGTCTTTTTCATTTTTTATCCCCTTTTTATTCATGGTTTTTTCATAGTTTCACCTGAATTGTTGAATCAGGGGTTTTAAAATCTATTCTTATTATCCATCCTTCTACTAAACCTCATTCTACTCTTTTTGCTTAATGTGCCAAGCAGTTTAAGCATGTTGATTTGAATGAATCTGTCAGAATAAAATTCGTTGTCCTCTTATTTGAACAGCCTGATCAACATATGGAGAACTTGATCTACTTCCGATATTTTCCTTTCAAGAATTTTCACAGAAACAACTTTGAGGAGATAAGGCCTACTTCTGAAATGAACTAATGGGTGTTTGCAAATAGGTGTATGTGTGTGTGAATATGTATAGATACATTGGCAGAATCTAGAATTAAAAATTAAACTGTGGTGTTAGAGAACTCAAGGGACTAGCTAACCTCTTGTAATATTGATCAACTCTGATTCTCTATTAAGCAAAGATGACTTGCATGTTGATATAAATGCTTATGAAGGCTTGACTTATATAATAATCTGGGATTTGAATTTGTCGTCTGCATAGGTGTTTCCTAATTTTGGAGAAATACATTTAGGATACTGACTAGTTTATAGTTTTACAACACTGGAAAAAAGCATCCTAATACAGTCCTGCATGATATGAAATTGATTAGCAATATAATGTCAAAAACTGTCTCAAGCATTCCATGTAGTAGGGACACATGGGTTACCATTTAAACCCATTCTGTCAGGAATACGGATGGACTCATTCCATTGCAACAATTGAATAAAAGTGGAAAGTGTATTTAGGCCAAATTTTAAATAGCATCAAATAACAACTGGAAAATTACTACTCTTTGATTGTGAAGTGAAGCTGATTACATGTTCTTTTCTACGTAGTATATCATTATTTGGGGTCGTATCGCCATTCATTTATTGAATGTTAAAAGGCTGTTATTCCCTATTAACAGTATTATTACTTCTTAAAGCGGCAGTTTCATGTTTGAGTTTCATGCAAGGCAATGACATTAGTGTTGAACATATATTTGGGTGATTGTAATTTTTTTTTAAATGTAATAAATGAACATCACATATAAGATACCAGTGTATCCTTCTAACAATTATTAGCAGCCTTTTATAGTCAAATATTCACACTTCACAGTGGATTAGTTGGGTAATTGATTTCACTTGCACTATTTTTTTACTAAGGTCTTGTTTGATTTGATTTGTTTCAGTCTTGTGTGATAAAAGTGTGAGATATGTGTATTTTACTACTACGTATATATATATATATATATATATATATATATATATATATATATATATATATATATATTTGGTTCAAATAAGAACATGATCTTAGGAGAAAAATGAGAATGAATTTGGACCGTTAGATTTACTTTAAGTGAAATTCAATGTGCATTAGATGAAACTGTAATGTGCATTAGGTGAACTTAAAATGTGCAACACAAATAGTACGATACAGTGACATTATGTGAAGCGAAAATTGTGCATTAGGTGAAATTGAAATGTGCATCACGTGAAACTGAAATGTGTAGAATAAAAGGTACGATGCGATGTTATTTTTGTACCTTTTATTCCGCACATTTTCGTTTCGTCTAATGCACACTTGAGTTTAAATTTTTATTCTACACATTTCAATATCATCCAATGCACATTTCAGTTTCACCAAATGCACAATTCAGTTCCACATAGTACAATCCAACGGTTCAGATTCGTTCTCATTTCTCTCCTGGGAGTCCGTTCTTACCGGAACCGCTCACTATATAGATAAGAGATCAAATACAAACCATGCTTAAAATACTAACCTACAAACTCCATTATATGCATCACTT